GATGCGACGACGTGATTGGCTCCTCTCTTCGATTTGATGCCTGCGGCGTTTGCGGTGGCAGGGGGGATACGTGTGATAGTGCTCAATTTATATGGAAAGAATCAGGTTTGTGTCTGTCCCTTGGAGGACTATGGGCGAAGTGTTCCGCATGTTGTCTGCACTTCACTGATATGATGCACTTATTTGAGGTTCTCAAATGATAAATTTGATATTCCAGGAGAGTTTACTGAATGTCCAAAGTCATGCAGCGAGGCAGCACGGGACTTTCATGAAGACAAAGAAGATGAAATTCACGTGTCACGAGCCATTGTCGTTTGTGTGAATGCGAACACCGGACGTGTGGTTCCAGAACGACTTTGCGCAGATCGCAAACGGCCTCCTTTAAAAACGAAGCCGTGCCCCTTACTGGTCTGTCCAAGCAGGTATTTTTAAGCATTTCATTCTTGAGCTTTACAATCTAAGGTAATTTATGCATTTCATTCTTGAGCTTTACAATCTAAGGTAATTTTTGGAAGTAACGCTTATTATACAATCTGCTCACCATTGACTCTATGTAGTGTTTGACATTTTACATTAGGAAAAAAATCAGCTCTGCAGTAAAACTTCCGGAGGCTTCTTTCTACGTAATATTTTCTTAAAAATAAAGCAATAAGCTGGTGATAAGCTTTTTGGAAAACTTGCCGTCTTCTCTTTTTTTAGAGGTTACAAGGGAAAACTGTTTATTGTCATGCTCATAAATGTAGCCAAGAAATTTTCGGCTTTTCTGCTGAAATAGAATTTTCTTTAGTGTATAATTATTTTTATTTATAATGTTTAAAATAGAAAGTTTATAATCTTAAAAGGCTGTCTGAGCTGGTAAAAGCTCGAAATATGTATGGACCATTGCATTTTCTCAGTCATCTTTTGAAAAATAGTTAGTAAGTCGTGCACGCTACGCTCTCAGTAGCTTTTTTCCAAAAATCTCAGATGCTGAACACAGGTTGCGTTTGGAACTTTCACTGAAACTAAATTTCTTTCTAACATCACTCTGACTTCATATACTTCCTTTAAAGAAAATTCTAGAATGCCATTAGAAAATGCTAAATTTTGAGTCTGTTTCATTTTAACGGACTGTAATTTCCCCTAAGAGTAGTTTCAAAAAGCTTATAATTTGGGTACAGATTTATGCACAATTTCTTAAAACCTTTTTTGTTCTATTAACATCGGACTTGGCGAAGGAAGAGAAGAGAAACGGCTTTGATGT